AGATGTAGGTCTTTTAGTTCTATATTGTTGACTTGTATTTTATGATGTTGTTGCATGTAATATTTATTCGACGAGGCAGTTTTTGGATTCTGGATTAAGTTGATAAAAATTTCAAATTTTATCTTTAAAGTAAACCATTCAGACCAGGTCAGATATTGAACATTCATAAATGAGAACTTGCGACAATTGAACTCTTTTTATTGATATGATATGATATATGTCGGCTTCTACTGCACTGATTTGGACATTTTTTTAAAATTTGGGGTAGAAAAACGAGAGTGTTTTAATTTTCATAGTTACATTTATCAATTTTAGGAAATAAACAATCGGTGGTCGATTTTTATAATCAAGCATTTTTAAATGCTGCTAAAGATGAATTCTAATCATAATATCCTTATGGCCCATACATTGTTAATTGTAAATTAGTATCTATTAAATTGAAGAATTAATGCGTAATAATGTTTTAAATTAATTTAATTGTTGTTTAATGCATATACTACATTGAATAACAGGGGATAAGGTATAAATAATCGTAAAATATTGACAATTTCATTAAATTTACATAATTTATGGAATTTATTTATAATACAAGTTCATTTAAATTCATTTATTCAGAATCCAACATTTTTCGAACTTTTTTAAGCCGCTCAAAAAGTTATTATAAATGGAAAAATGGTTAATAATGCAATTGTATATGATATTTTATTTAAGGGTCTAAGAATGTGTAAAAGCGCGGGCGCAATTGACTTTTTTCTCGGTAGGTTCTTTAGCAATTGCATTATGCAAAAATTGTATTTCAGATTTTTTGTAGTCCGGTCAAGTACTTTTCTCTAAATGTATGGCGTGATTGAGTTATTTTTTCATTGTTAAATAAATAATTCAAAATTACGTTGGTTTTTACCCACTGTTTTGCACTTTCATGCATTTTGCAACAAATATATCAAGTCTACGGATATCGAAGCAACTCTGTCTTGGAGCAAATTTCATAAAGAACAAATATAGACATTTTTTTTCACTTTTTTGTTTTTTTTATGCAAACAGCACACTTTTTCAAGCTTGTGCCAGCTTGAAAAAGTTCGATATTTTCAATAGGTATGCCATTTAAGAACGATTTCAATAGTTATCTAAGTTACTGTGACTGACTCTAAAAAATATTTATGGTTTGTGGTTCTGCGGACGTATAGAAAATTATATGCAAAAAAATGCTTATATTTAGGCTGAAGGACAAATTGATAAAAAAACGTGAAATTTGAAAATGTTTCTCAGTATAAATTATCGAAGTTTGACACTGAATTATCAGGTCCCCAAGGTTTTCGACCGCGCAGTTGATAGCATAATTGGTGTGAAATAAAAATCGATATATTATATATATTTTTTCAAACGTATTAAGTATATTTCAATCATGATCGACAAAAAATTAGAACGTTCTTTGTGCTTCCAAGTTGCCAAAAAATATTGAAATGCCGCAAAATGTCTTCAAAATCCATCTGTATATCATCGACACGAAGCGAATAAGCCAATAACATTATAAGGAAATAGCAAAATTGCAGCAAATTCTAACCATACTTGAACAAACGAAAACACGAAATATATATTTTAAAATACTTTATTACATGGTTAATGGTAAGAAACGTTATTCATATTTTATGTACATTATTAATATACTAAAATAGCTTAACTATAACAATTAGAAAATTTTCTTCAGTTTTTATTATCGAGAATAACTCAAAAGTATTTTTTCTGCGATTTCAATTTTGAATTGAATAATGTATCTAATCCTAAAAGAATGTTTCATAACATCAAACAAATGAAAAGCCCCGTACAACTTTCAGAAACAGTGGGTATGTCAACGATATATTATAATTAAATTAAATATATAAAAAGCAAAAAAAAAACGAAACGATTGTTCTTTTAACGTATTACTGTAATATTTACCATCATCCTGTGCCTTGCATATTAGTTTTTATAGTCTGTTTCATCACGATTGCTTTCTGATGCTAGAGCAATTTAAGATCAAGATTAAGTAACACGTTCAAAGAAACATTTCCTGTTAAAGATTTGAAACATAACGAAAATAAAATATAAGTTACAGCTAATATGTAAAGAACAATTTAAAAATCACATAAAAATGACTATTAGTTTTAGATATTATATTTAATAGTGGTATAGCATACATAGTAACCAAAAGTTAAACAATAGCTAATAACAATACCTATTGAGGTAAATATTCTAAAACTAAAAGGTAGAAAATTTTATATATTTTTTTATAAAACAACCTTAACATTTTAGCGACTGCAGTGCTTTTCAACGTTAATCAGTCATGCTCAAATCTATTAACAGAGAAGATTCAAAGAACTGTTTGTTTTTCGTAATTGTGCCCTCCAAGGAATAATATTGGGTTCCTCATCAGAGGGTTCGTCGTCCAAAGAGTTGTTACTCAAAGTCATATTGCTTTCTTTATCGTATTCCTTCATGTGATTGTTGTTAATATCTTCCTGTTCTTTTTCGTTATTCGGTTGTTGTTGTCTCATGTCAGGGAGTTTTACCTTTGGCTCTTCCACTACTTTCGGCGTGTAGATCATTTGCCTGAAATAACAAATTTTGAAAGAATGCTGAGGCTTTCACTGGTATTAAATACTCACCTTATTTTATTTTCCGTCTCTTCCTTCTTGGCCAGCAATGGTCGTTTCCATTGAGGGATGGATTGTAAACGCTTTTCTTCAGCATCTTTTTGCAGCTGTTCTTCCATTTCCTTCTTGGCCTTCTCTGCAGCTTTCTTAGCTAGCATTTGCCTTTTCCAAGCAGGAATTAGGTTTCCAGTATTGTCTTTGTCTGGAATCTAAACACAAAAGCGTGATGAAGTTGCAAAAATGTATGATTAAGGTGCTACATAAAATTAATTGCAAGTACATACTGATAATGGTGCATCGTGGCGACTCAATCCGCTCTTGTATATACTTGCCTTCTCTATAAAGTTGTTAGCAGTAAACTGTTTTCGAATTTCAACTATTACTTCTCTTTCCAATGTCTGTTCCGTTTTCGCTTTTTCGATCTTCATTTTCTTCAGTCCAGTTAAATCCTTCGACATTTTGAGCTCGGCGATTAGGTCAGTTTTCTGAGCCATGAATGAATCAGCCGTATTGAGGCATTGCAATGATACACTTCTAGTGGGTGCTGAGAAAGTCTGAAGTGAAAAGTTAACGAACGGGTAATTAGGCAGCAGTCAACAAATGGAAAATCGTTATTACCTTAGAAGCAACAAGTTTTTCAGTTCTTCTCAGCTGGACCGAGTTCAGGTCTTGGATGCTAATCGCTGACAAAGGTTGATGCTTTTTTACTTTCTCCTGGTGTGTTAAGGTGCTTTGTTTTGAAATGGCGTTTTGTGTTAAATCGCCTGCGAACAGCAAATCGTTGAGAAAAACTACCTACTCACTGCTGATTTAAAAGGCTCACCATTAAACTCTGGCAAGGGTGGCGGTGGAGGCCCAACAACTTTACTGTCGCTATTGGTCTGTTCTTCTTCCTTGTCCATATCAGCTTTTTTATCATCCTCACTCATCGATATTTCTCTGGGACCATCATTTCGTTTGTCAGCTGAGCTGATACTTCTAAGAAATTCAGACGGTTTGATTAGCTTGTTCGAGCCAGCTAGTGGAAAGCTGGGAGGCACAAATGGTAAAACTCGTTGACGATTCACTGGTGTAGCTAGAATAGTGCTGGATGTTGACTGTCTGTCTTCGTCGTTAAGACTGACGATTGTGAGGTCGGAACAGGAAGAATTCAACCGACGAGCAGCTGAAATAAAGAGTTGAAGGATTTTTATTAGTCTTAAAATATCGGAAAAGTGTTTGATGGCTTTACAGTCTTGCCTATACAACTGGTTCAAATGTTCAAAAGCTGTAAATGTAAATAGGTAAAGTTGACAATTTTTTAAATGAAAAGAGTTAGGCTTCCGCGGCGTTTCAATGAAACTGGTCACTTTTTGGGTTTTTATGGCTGTCGTGAATTAGAATGAATTACAAAAATTTATTTATTATTTAATAGACATTTTTCAACCGACAAAGTTGAACACATACATAGGTTTAAAGTTCTTTGGAATGCAGTTAAGCCTGGGTAACCCAGTGAATTTTTAGGAGTTGGCGCAGTGCTCGCAAATGGCTTGGTGCGCCAACCCAATGCACCGGCGCAGTAACTCAGTTTCGTTGCTGGGAAAATGTTGATAACTTTTTAATTGTTTTTACATTTATTTTAAGGGCTATTTATTAATAATAATTTTAAAATTTGTTCAAAATTTCAGAATTTTTCGGTTTTAGCCAAGTTACTATTTCTTCTAAATGCTCAATTTTCTAAAGTTTCACTTTAAAATGTTGCAATATGAAGGTATTTTTGGCGCAAAATAATGAAATAAATTTCGAATCCTGCGTGGCTTTGTAAAAAGTTTTGAAATCCCTTTCCAGCTTCTGAATTCCAAATTCGAATTTCGAACAAAAATCAAATAATTTTCTATCAAAAAACGAACAGAAAGTTTATAACATATTATTTGGAAATTTCGTCAGCTCCATACCTCTGAAGACTGTAGAGTTTGTTAAAAAAAAATTGTTTTTTAGTTTTGACTGATTTTTTTTTTGCTTTACTTTCTACTCAAAAGCGCTCTATTTTGTAGTTTCACATGGGCAGATAAAATAAAAAGCCAACAAAAGTACTAATGATCTGGGGGTCTTTTACGCGCAAAACTACAAGATAAATTTATAGCTTTGTAAAAAGTTTATAAAAAGTTTACAAAAACTTTTTTCAGGGTCGAATTCGGGACAACAAAAATCAATTCCTCCCGTTTTTCCTCAAAAACCATTAGGTTTACTCCAAAACCGATCACAAAACTAAAAGTTCTAACTTTAGAAAACGCATTTCAGCTTCGAATTTGGCATAAAAACTAAATATTTATTCAGTTTTTTTACCGAAAGTAATTAGAATTATCATGAAAAAACGACCAGAGCCAAAGTTTTAGAAAATTATTTGGAAAATTCACCGCTCTCACCGCTCTGAAGATTCTTAAAGTTCCTTTAAATTTTCTATTAAGCAATTCTTTCTACGCAAAAATCGCATTATGTTTTAGTTTTACTTAAAATACGGCCAATCTTCAGATATTTTCTGTGAAAAATTATAAGATAAATTCTATCGGAACACTCTCCTTCTTAACCGCTTTGCAAAAATGTTTGAAAAACTTTTTACAGCTTTGAATTATAGACAAACCCCTAATAATTATTTCTCGGTCTTTTTCCAAAAATATTTCCCCGAACTGAAAAAGCAAAAGCTTATGGAATTTATTTGGAAAACTCTTAGAAACTGCCATTTCTTCACTTTTAGGTCAATATTTCTAAACAACACTGTCTCTATGTTGCATTTTTCCTAACGTTGTATTGTAAAATACTGGCAAAAATAAGAAATTCTTTCATAAAAGCAGTGCGAGCTCGAACAGTCAACTACTGGAAGTCCTGAGCGTTCAGGTTCGGTTCCGAAAGCATTTATTAAAAAAAAAACAGCCCTAAACTGAGTTATAATCCGTCTTTAAACATTTATATACTTCAACGTTTTATTCTTTAAATAATAATATTGTTTTTAAAATTTTCTTGTGAAATGTAAGTCAGCCAACCAATGTAAATTTAAATTTTTTTATGTGTCAATACGAAATCTCGAGTTTCAATCAATTCGTTTTAAGTCCAACTCGCCTTGTTTGAAGTCATGATCCCAAGTCAATACCGTTTGAAAAAAAAGTGAGAAATAATCCTGGTAAATATTACTTCTTGGTAAAAAATAAACAAAAAAAAATATTAACACAATTCTATTATCAACGTTCTAACAGTTAGTTTGATGTGATTTAATAAGCAGAAACATTATTTGTTTAAAATCTGTTGGAAATCTATAAATGGCGTTATTCGAGAGCCATTAAAGAAACTTGCAACCGTAAATGCAATTGCAAATAACTAATTAAAAACTGCTTTTCAGTTGGTAGTTGATTGAAGACAATTTAAGTGATTAAATTAAAGCGAAAAATTGTAAGTAGCACAAGCGAACACCAGCTGGTGCATGTACGACTTCAGCGGTAACATACAAAGATTTGCAGCAAAAAGTCTGTTTATTCTAGAAACTGAAATTTTCCAATTTCCCCAATAAGATTTCAATATTGTATATTCGCGCAATGTTTCGGGTGTTTTTGCTTTAAAGTCCTTTGTGCGATTGCGTTTCTTATAAGCTATAAAAGCAGCAAGTTAATCGAATTTAAACTTTTTCATTTTTGCTGAGAGTCATATTTGCAACCAAGTCATGTGTAGGTATGGTAAATCGACTAAGTTTGCTTGATAATTTTAAGAGAATTATTCAATTCTACTGCCTCTACAATTTTTGAACATTTCCCTCCTGAACTCTTTTCTTAAATTTTCTTCGCGACCACTTCAATTATTTGCTGGTTTTGCTATTGCTTCGTCTATTTTAAAAAATTGTTGGGAAATATTTCTGCTTAATTTTCATTAAAATGTTCCACTGAGATAAAGAATGAAGTAATATTGGAGGGTGGATTTTCGAGCAGCAGATTTGTATGTTATTTTTATAATTTATTATGTTTCATAATTTATATTAATAAATAATTATGTAAATAATTTAATTATACAGCAACTTTTTGTAGGTGGACTGTAATAGTCAAGACAGAAAATGTATCGACATGGACTACTTACATTTGCACCTTAAAATCAACAATTGTTAGAGTAGTGAGGTTTTACTCCTCCTGTTTCATTAAAAAATATTTTTTCAGTAGTGCAAGAACTTATCCTCTGTATACATATTTCTTGTGTTTAGACAAATCGACTTCACTTGGTATAGAGATGATGTTTTTTGAGCAGATTCGAGCATTGGGTGATAAAATAATTCAAAATTGTACCTTCAATTGATTTCGTAAGTTTATATATTGCAAACTGAGATTCGTAAGTTTATATATTGCAAATTGCAATTTGAGAGCGCAATGAGAACTGGCAAAGTTTTGATTAACTACTCATTCGTCAAATCGTTTCTTTGTCTAAGTTTTAATAAACAAAATATTTTTCCCTGAATTACATAGTATAATTTATTACGCCAGATTGCGTTAATTATCTTTGTTTAACCATTTATGATAATTTTATGACACGACTTCCTTAATTATAGCTTAGTTTTGTGTCCAAGAATAATTATTTGGTTCCAACTTAATGGTACTCATTTTATTAGAATAAAGAGAGCCTGTCGCTTCGGTTCTTCGCTCTAATTAATTTCCAGTTACTTGGATTCTTCCAAAAAAACAAAATTTTACAATGTTAAAACATATTTTTGTTACACGATGAATTGCTCATTTGAATCTATTATGTGGAATTTAAAATTTAAGCGCTTTTAAGTTGAAACTGAACGCATTTAAGTTAGTTGTGCTGGATTGACCAAATTCGCTTTTTACGAAGGAAAAGGTCGTTTATTTGTTTTGTGGAACGAAAATCCATTAACATATCGCTATAGGTATATTCATGCCTTCCATTAATAATATAACCAATTATCAAATTATAAATAAAATCAATTAGGAATTACAAAATCTTCTAATTGTACATACAAATAATACCTAGAAGTTTGTGTTCATATTGCATGTAAGTGAATTGTTTTAAGCAAATTAATGCATGACGAAAGATTGACTAAAATTCCATTATCCTATTTTGCATTCTTTAAACAATGTTTTTATTTTTAAAATGTATTTAAATGGCGCTTTACCAATAATTTAACTGTCCTAAGAATATTTTGGTCTAATCCTAATGATGATTATTAATTATTCGAAAAATGATCTTCATGTGAATGTACCGAACAGTGTTGTTGCCATGTAAACCTAAGCTTTATTTCCGGCATTCATAAACTTTCATTTCTTTGCACTTGAACGCTTATCGCAAAAAATGTGTTTCAAGACCGTGTAATGTAATATGAGTAAAAGAGGTTTGAAACGTGTGTGCAGAATAGCATTTATCTAGGACTCAGCTGGGTCATTTACCTAAAATCTTGTGTATATGGTTGTAGGTACAATTAATTACTGATACTGATTACAGAATTTTATGTTTCCCTAAAATTACATGCTTCTTAAAAATTTAATTTTATTATTTTACGATTTAATTTCGTCAAGGCTGGTGGAAGCTAACCGGCTTTCAGAAATAACTTGCACATGTTTAATTATTATTATTTCCTAAACGTTTTCAATGTTTACGATCTAATTATCCGGGAATGTTCACGGTTAATGAATTATTTTACAGCCTGGTTCATGAACTAATAGACCCCATTGCCAATGTATTAAGTAATTTTTAGTGATCCTGCAGATTACAGTTTACATTTTCTTTTCAATTTACAGCTCAAGTCCATAAAATAGTGAGAAACAACTGTCCAAAATTGAAATCCATTTACAGCAAATATGTTGAGTTGAGGTGCATGCTTTCCGCGAATTACTGGAAAGCGCGTACTAACCATCTGCTGTAAGCTTGACCAGTACACATTTATTGGCAGTTAAAAATAAATAAAATCCATGCAAAAGAAAATATTTTAGCAATATGAAAGTTGTTCGAATGCGGGTATATGGGGAAATCGGAACCAACTGGAAAAATTTGCAAAAATACTTGCTTTCTGACAATAAACGTGAATACAATACAATAAATACAAACAGTATTTTAGTTGATGAATTGATTGTTTAATGGCCATAAAATTATTATACAGTCACAGGCTGCACTTTCTAAATCGTTAAATCTGGTTCA